TCTCCATTGAAGTCTATTGAACCAAAACACAATGTTTTGCATTTAAAAAAAAAAAAAAGGTCCCTGGCCCTTTCCTAAAAATGCACTGGGTGAAAACGAGGAGATGTGAACGTGTCCCATAGGAAATCATGTTAAATGGACAGTAGTGAGCTTCTGCAAAACGCTTAGGTGTGAACCTAGACTAAGCCCTGGTTCACACTTAGGCATCTTTTTAAAAACGAGTCTGCAAAAAGATTTCCCCTTGGTTCCTGCACCCACAAACATACTGTGGGCTGAGATGCTTGGGGGTACCATTCAGAATGAGTGGCAGCCCCTACAGAAGTCTTGTAAGAGCAGCACGATTTGGCTGCGGGTGCGGGAAGAGATGTGATCCCCACAACCAGCCCACACAGCGTGAACCAGGGCGGAAAGTTTCCTTTAAAGTGTAGGCCAAGTCAAAAGTTTTTTTTGGACTAGATTGGGGAATGATTCAACCTGTCTACAGGGCTATGTTGGAGAGATTTGCTGTCACTTTCTCTTAGCAGACAGGGCCTTCTGCAATTGAGACACAGACAAAAAAAACACCCAAAAATCTGGGGTTCCGTTTCTTCCTGTGTTGCCGTTGTGGAGTTTCCTTCACTTCCTGTCTGCTAAAACACACATAACGCACGTAACTGCACATTGTTGCAAATGTATTGCAATGGTGCTTTTTTTTTTTTTTTAAATAACCTTTATAGAATTCTGTGTGCTGCAGCGTGTCAATACAACATGTCCAAGATGTCCACACACACCAGCAGATTGGTGTGAATTGAAGCCGTAGGACATGAAGCAAATTGCATTGATGTTGTGTTGGGACTGTGTCTGGCAGTGCTGCTGGTGTGACTGAGCCCTACTAGAGGTCTGGACTGTTGTACAAATCCATCATTTCTCTATCCAAAACAAAGAACAGAACATTTTGTCTTGATGTATGGATTTGAACGTGTCACCCTGGTTATAAATACTTGCTGAATGCTAAAGGGAGAAATGAAGAGTGCTTACATCATGCCACACATTGCCTGAACTGCCTTTTGCTAATCACGTTAACCTTTGTACCTCGACATTTAGAATATATATTTTTAACTGTGCCAGAGCTGCCAGGACATTTCTGTGAAATCCGTATTTACTGCTCATGTACAAATGGGAATACACTGCACAGACCAAAAATACATGAGCACTGTGTACACAGAACACACATTCTGTTCTTTCAAAGAGGCCTTTGCTTGTTTAACCACTCGCCTACTTGGCAAATTCTGCCATTTTTCTCCTACATGTAAAAATTATTGGTTTTTTTCTTGCTAGAAAATGACTTGGGACCCTCCCCAAACATATATATTATATTGTTTTATTCAAAGGCCCTAGAGAATAAAACGATCGGTGTTGCAACTTTTTATGTCACGTTAGATGAGCACCATTGTGGGTTTTTTTTTTTTTGTGGGAAAAAAAATACTTTAATTTTAGTGAACGCGTACACAATAGAATACCAAATATGGGGGTAAAATATAAAAAAAGTTACAAGTTCCCAAACTTTAAAATTGCCTGTGGAATGGAAACTACAGTACTTTAAATTATCCATAGGAAAAGTTTTAAAAGGTTTGTGTTACCAGTTTAGATTATCACCGGAGGTCTGATGCTAGAATGATTGCTCTCACTCTGGCGTTCGCGTTGATACCTCACGTGTGGTGCAAGCACTGTTCCAATGCTGGACAACCATTCGTTCACCTTTTGCGCGTGAACACTGGTGCTTTAATTTTGTTTTGTTTTTTTGTGCTAATTTCCTCCTTTTTTTTTTTTTTTTTTTATTGCTGCCGGACGCATGTTAACTGGGCTTCCCGATTGTACTGGAGAGGCCAGTAAAGGTGGTGGTAGGGGATTGGGGACCCCCTTCTACCCTGTGAAAGTAATCCAGCGACTGCATATTTAAGACACATACATAAGAGTATCACCGGCACTAAAAAAATTATACTGGGATCATGGTTGTAGTTTCAAGCATGATTCTGGTATAACCAGTCTGTATGTATACATACCGCGGTATTGAAGTGGTTAAACTGTGTTGGAACCAAGTGATCTTTTTTCTTTTTTTTTTTTTCCCTTCTCTTTCTTTCCCTTTCTTTCTTTTTCTCTTCCTTTCTTCCCTTCTCTTTCCTTTCTTCCCTTCTCTTTCCTTTCTTCCCTTTCTTCTCTTTCCTTTCTTTCTTTCTTCCCTTCTCTTTCCTTTCTTCCCTTTCTTCTTCCTTTCTTCCCTTTTCCTTTCCTTCCTTTCTTCTTCTCTTCCTTCTCTTTCCTCTTCCTTCTTTCCTCTTTCCCCTCTCTTCCCTTCTTTTACTTCTCTTCCCTTCTCTTCCCTTCTCTTCCCTTCTCTTCCCTTCTCTTCCCTTCTCTTCCCTTCTCTTCCCTCTTCCCAAATTTGTTTCTGTGCAGCAGTGTCAACAGACCGGAATTATCAGCAGGCTAAAAGTGAAGGCTCCAGGGCTGATGAACTTGTCTGATTACATCGTCTTTTTTTTTTTTTTTTTTTTCTCTAAAAAGTAGTTTTGATCTTAGATTGCTTCATTTTCCTTTACAAATCAGTAAACGTAAGGTATTACTTGCTTTATTTGAAATAGGTAACATTAAAACAAACCTTCATTCAGAGGAACAACTTTACGATTGTATGAGAAAAATGTCTTTGTAGGACACGCTTGACTGAAATGTTATTTCCGTGGCTCCATTTTCTGTGTTGCAGTGTCTCCTGGTTTATGAAACTTTTTAAAAGGAAGAGGTGACCTTGTTACTTATTTAAATCTGCTTCTCCTGTCACAGTATATCCAAAATGAGAATTTTGTTCTTTCTTCTGTTAGAAATTGACAAAGAAGGCAATTAGTGGAAGGGTGAAGAGGAGGTGTTGTCTGCAGCAACTAAACAGGAATTTTCTTTCATTGTATGATTTGTGGGGCAGTAACAATGGCAGTTGTCTCAGATTGTCATTGGCTGGCATCACCTTTCTCTGTCCATTTCATGACCATAGGTCATTTTCTGCATAGATGACCAGGCCAAATATTACAGCATTGGCGTGCTTTTTTACTTGATGGTATCCCTAATATTAATTTGCATGCCTACAATGTCATACATATATTTTTAAGAACATATAAGAGTTTTTTATTTGGTACACAGTTTTAATAAATATATACTGTTTTTTTTCTTTATTATAGGTTGACAAATTAACAATGTAACAAATGACAAATTAACAAAAAAAGGGGGGGGGGGTATTTTTTGTTCTAATGTCCTAATTGTATTTGGCAGTTACAGTATTAAACAGATAAACTTTGCAAACTTCAGCCTGTAGGCTTATTGAAGCCTGCGTTTTGATTAGTCATGGCTGATATTGATGACCATGTGTTCAGGACCTGAATTCTGATTTTCTGTCATCAGTTCAGACTGGAATAATCAGTGATTTTAAAATGGATGTAAATCCTTAGGGCGCTTTCACACTGCTCTGTAGCGAAATCGTGGCAAAAACACATGCATTTTTGCTGTGTTTTCAGATGTTTCTGGTGTGTTTTTTGGTTGCTTGTACCTGTGCAAAGTGTACAGGTAACTAAAATATGCAGTGCACTTTTGACACGTTTTCCATTCATTTCAACAGAAATGGCACTTAGTGCTCTGCATTGAGACAAGGACACACTATAGAGGGATATTCTTTGTATTCATGTCTGAGGTTTACAGCCACTTTAAAGTGGAACTTTTATACACACAAAGGAATCTGCACCAAAAACGCAAGTGTTACTTTTTGTTAAGGTTTGTTTTTTTTGGGGGGGGGGGGGGTTTGCCACTAACAAAGTATTGATATTGATGCAACTTTTCTTCTTTTTTTTTTTTGCTAATTAGAAAATATGTAGTGCAACTTTGATACACTCTTAGGAACTCAATTGGCACCAATCACATCAAAGTAGTGCAGGAACCTTTGGGGTTTATTTACTAAAGCTGGAGAGTCCAAAATCAGACTCCCTTCTGCATAGAAACCAATCAGCTTCTAACCTCAGCTTGTTCAATGAAGCTTTGGCAATGAAACCTGGAAGCTGATTGGTTTCTATGCAGAAGGGAGTCTGATTTTGGACTCTCCAGCTTTAGTAAATAAACCCCTTTGTGTCTGAAGTTGCTTTTTAGGGTTAAGGGCTTGCACTACTTTGATGCGACTTTGATGGTACCTGAGCGGCAGAGTGTTGCACTATATGAACAAAACTGTTATGCTTTCCTATTCAAAGAAAAAAAAAAAAAAGTGCATCAAAGTTGCACCAATCCAAAGTCACAGTAAACACTTTACTGATGTAAAAAACCCCACATGTTGCAAATCGCAAAAATGCACTGTGAAATCATGCGATCTGCATAGATGTGAACCTAGCCTGAGTCCTGTAAGTTGCGAGCTGGTGCCTCCATGGTTCAAACTTGTTTTTCCAGTCCATTGCACGGATGCTTGATTGGATTGAGGTCTGGAAAATGTGGAGGCCAAGTCAACACCACAAACTTGTTGCTGTGTTCCCCAAACCATTCTTGAATCCATCAGACCAGGCCACCCTCTTCCACTGGTCTGTGGTCTGGTTCTGATGCTCACATGCCCATTTTAGGCACTTTTGGCTGTGGACTCCAGTCACCATGGGCACCCTGACTGGTCTGCATCTCTGCAGCCCCATACACAACAACCTGTGATGTACTGTGTGTATGTTAATATGGTCAACTTAATGTTATGTAAATGTGGGTTCTCTACGTGAAGGTTGTCTCTTCATGGGGACAGCTATATTTGCTTCTTGGTTAGAGACACTCTCAAATAAATACTCTTCCTAAAAATACTGAAACCTTAAATGCTAATGTTGCATTGAATATTACATTAAAAAGTAAACTTTTACTGTAATTTGTTTAGTTGTCACCCAAAACATGCAGTTGTGTGATCATGTGCATAAAATATTGATCCCTGTCCTTGGCTAATAGTTGTCTTTTTTGTTTTGCAGGTATCCTGGCATCCACCGTTGTGCTGGTATTATCACGTAGAGCGCTTTTCAAATTTTACACCATCAGCATGGCCCTCGTGATTGCTGCAACTTCAGTGTTGGTTAATTATTATACCATTTTGCACATGAACTCCAACTCTGCTTATAAACTGGAAGTCCTTCCCGCCAGCGGACCATCGCTATGGATGCCACTAATTGTCTTACAACTCATATTTGGTATTGGTTTCGTGACATTGCTGGAGATCCAGTCCACCTACTCCCAGCTCATCATAGTGGATCTTATAATCCCCACTGTTGGGTTTGTTCTAGAACTTCCAGCTGACGTTCAAGAGACCTTAGTTATTATTTCTGGCCTTGTGCTTGCCGTTTATACTACAGTATGCCTGTTGCTCAGGTTTAAGTGGTTCTATTATTCCACAAAATACACAGTGCTCCTGCTCAAACATATGTACCAGGTTTATGGAATACAGGTGATGATTGAAGATGCCTGGAAGAAGATTCATTTTCCTGATGTGCTTAGAGTGTTCTGGCTGACCAGGTTGGCCACCCAAGCTGTATTCTTAATGTACATGGTGAAAGTGTCAAGCGCCAACGCTGGAGAGGCATCTTACCTTTTACCTTGGAGTGACTTTTGGGAACTTGTCTGCAACCTCATCATCAGTGGTTGCGATTCCACCTTAACCGTTTTGGGTATGAGTGCGGTGATTTCATCTATAGCACACTATCTGGGACTAGGAATACTCGCCTTTATTGGCTCTACTGAAGAAGAGGACAAACGTCTGGGTTTTGTAGCTCCCGTATTGTTTTTTATACTGGCCCTGCAAACCGGCCTTAGTGGCTTACAGCCCGAAGAAAGACTCATACGCCTTTGTCGAAACATGTGCCTTTTGTTGACAGCCATTTTGCATTTTATCCATGGAATGACCGACCCAGTGTTAATGTCACTCAGTGCCTCCCATGTGTCTTCTTTTCGTAGGCATTTCCCAGTGCTCCTGGTTTCGGCCTTCCTATTTGTGCTTCCAGTCCTGCTCAGCTGCGTCTTGTGGCACTTTTATGCCCTGAACACCTGGCTGTTTGCTGTGACGGCCTTCTGTGTCGAACTTTGTTTGAAAGTAATTGTTTCTCTGACTGTGTACACGCTGTTTATGATAGACGGCCACTACAGTGTAGTGTGGGAGAAGCTGGACGACTACGTTTACTACGTGCGCTCAACTGGCAGTATCATAGAGTTTATTTTCGGAGTCATTATGTTTGGCAATGGCGCCTACACAATGATGTTTGAGTCCGGAAGCAAGATCCGAGCCTGCATGATGTGTCTTCATGCCTACTTCAATATATACCTTCAAGCAAAGAACGGGTGGAAGACGTTTGTCAACCGCAGGACTGCTGTCAAGAAGATCAACTCGCTTCCTGAAGTGAAGGTTTCTGAAACAAATGAAATAGACGACGTTGCGCAATCTGTTATCAGGAGTTCCGCACGTCTGCCCGTGTTACACCATGTCATCATTATTTTCATGCACTTTGCCTCCGTAAGTGGTTGTACATTCAAGATACCTGCCCAATGTGCCATCAGAAAGTATATATTGACGATGAGCCAAAAGAGAGCTCAACCTTTTCGAACAACAATGGAAACATTGCCCCAAATGAGGAACCCGTTCCAGATGTTGGAGATGGGGAGCTAGAGCAGGAGCTCAATGACCATGATCTTAGCGATGATGATGATGACGTGGAAGAGGAATGGACAGCCGAACAGCACCATTCAGCCACTGATGAAGAAGAATTTATCAATGACATTCACACTTTGGGGGACTAAACCTTATTTATTTCTCTTTGCTTTTGTGTGTGTCAATACAAATACATCAAAAGATGGGTTTTCTGAGGAGTTTTTTCCTTTACTTCTTTAAAGTATAGCTAATGGCAAAACTTTTTTTTTTTTTTTTTTAAATTATTATTTGGATAGAGTGGTAAGGGGATAGGTCTCCTGTCAGGTTTTATTGCTGTCTGTCACTTTTAGAGTGATTTTACTTTTTTGTCATTGTCCTGATCACCATTGTAACTGGAAGGAAGGTGAAGGTAAAAACTAAATTTTTAGGTTGTCACTAGAACAGGAATAGAGGAGAAATCTTCCACTGGGAACACTTTTTTTTTTTTTTTTTTTTTTTTTTTTTTTTTTTTTTTTTTTTTTTTCCATTACATGTCTCTGAGGGACTTTCCCTCTCATTGGAAGGATATCCTCGCACCTCCTGTTGAATTTAGTCCTTGTTCACATGGAGAGTTTACATCTGTGCCCCGAGTAGGGCACAGCCACTGCTCCCAATGTACCATCCATGCAGTTGCTTGGCCCTGAACGCACCCAGGATGAGTTAGGGGACACGCACTCATGTGGATGTCATACTGGACACAGTGGCTGTGTCCATGCAGCTGCTGTATCTCTATCATGAATGGGACTGCCTGCACAGGGATGCACAGATCACCTGCGCATCCCCAAGTCAGTAAAACACGACCCTGGCACAGGGCACGGATGTAATCGCCCCTTGTAAATGAGGCCTTACTGGACAGGGATTGAAGAGAAATCTCCCTAAAGAGATGCAGATTGCTGACAAATCTGACAGTAACCAATCCCTACTCTATCCTAAATAAGTGTTTGGCTTTAGATATACTTTAACTCTGAAAGCACAATCAGAATCTTGAAGCAAGGCCTGGATGGATAGTGTCTAAGTGCTATTGTAAATATATTTCTTGGTCCCTTTTGTGACCTAATTAAAATGTGTACATTCTTGTACATGAAATAAAAAAGTTGATTTTGCATCACTTGCTTTCTTGAAAGCCCATTAAACTGTTGCATGCACTTTTATTGGTGGTGGGACCAGCCCTTTAGAATAGTCAGTTATGGATTACTCTGTTGGCATTCAATACATAAACGAATGTATAACCCGTGGATTTTTGGTTGATATACTGCAAGCCACATCATGCCTTGCTTAGAAGATGTAATGGCCATGCTGGGTCCTGAAGTTATTTAGATGTCCGAAGCCATCAGACTATTGTTCTGTTGGGCAAGTTGGTGCTGAACTCAACATTTTTACTAGGGATGCAGCGATTAACCTTGTTTGATCGGTATGTACGAGTGCTGATCCTTTCGGTCAAGTCCTAGCTGATGTTTTGTACTGATACTTTGCCGTGCGATTTTGTTTCAGTACAAAATGTATGGATGCAAATTGCACCGCAAAGAATAGCATGCAGTGTGAACAGGAATGTGATTCTTGTCCAGATTGCATGCGGTTTCCCCACTGCTCCTGTGTGATCCCAGGCTTGTCATAGCCCGAGTTCACACTGGAGCGATGCAGGGAGGTTTCCCGCAGCAAAGAGTGGGAGAGAAGGGCGTGTGGAGATGTGTACCTGGTGGCAGATGCTCTGTATTCTCAGCTGTTAAGAGAGGAGAGAATGCTGTGGGTTCAAATCCCCGTGGCTTTCTCTCCTCTTCTTGCAGGGATGACAGTACGGGCTAGATGGCATCTGATTGGTAAGCACCATCCATGTGATGGTGCTGACCAATCAAAAGCCCTCAAGCCTGAACTGTCATCCCTGCGAGGAGAGAAAACGGCAGGGATTTTAAATCACCGCTGCCTTCTCTCCTCTCCTAGAGCTAAGAAAACGGAGCATCTGCCACCATGTATACATGCTCATGCCTACTTTTCGCTCAGTATGGGATCGGTGCAGGGAGGTTTCCCACACCGCTCCTGTGTGAACTTAGGCTATGACAAGCATGGGCTCACAGAGGAGCAGTAGGGAAACCGTATGTGATTTGGACAGGAATTGTACCTCATTTCTGTTCAAGTCGCACGCTATTCTTTGCGGTGCAATTTGTGTCCATTAATGTAAATTGCACCGCAAAGTCTTGCTTTCAGGTATCTGGAGCATTTTCACAAGTACGAGTAAAAGTACTCAGTATCGGCACCAATATCCATACCAGTGCACCTAATTTTTACCTAGTCCACAATTTTTTTTTTTTCTGGGTGGGTTAACCACTTTATTTAAATTCCACCTAGAGATAGACTTGGCTTCCTTGGTTTGTGTGCTCGCCCTGCCTCTACACACAGGTTTCAGCTTGTAGATACTGATCGGAAGAGCTTCAGCCTCAGAAAAACATTGGGCAGCTTTCTTGAAACCCTTTATAGTGACTCTTCTTGCTGACATGTTTAGCAATGTGCAGGCACCCAGCGGTGCTAAAAACACTTCACTATCCTGCAGACCCACCACTGAGCCCTAACACTTTTTTTTTTTATTATGTGATGGCACACTAGATTCCTGGCAGGTCAACAGGGTGTTCTGTGATTACAGCATCTTTAACCCCTTGACGCCAACGTAACACAAATGCGGCCTCACAGAACTGGGCTTTTTTCTGTGGGGCCGCATATTTGTGTACCTGTCTGTGCTGGGAGTGTGCCGCACAGCATCACTGAGAGTGACTGCAGTGTCACTGAGAGCACCGGGTCCTGTTCGAACGATCGGGACCCAGGACTCCCGATTCTGGGTCACGATTGCTGTGATTTTTTTTCCTCTATGGAGGAGAGAGATACATTGCATCTCTCTAACTCCTGGCATAGAGGAGAAAAATGTTTGTAAAAAAGAAAAAAAAAAAAAGATAAATATTAAAAAATAAAGAAAAAATACCTAGATCAAGGTTTGATCTCGTTCAGTGCCAGGGTTAGTGTTTGGGTCAAGGTCAAAAGGTCAGGGTCAAAGTTCAGGTTTAAAAAAAAAAAAAAAAAATGGTGTCAGTGTTTTTAGGTAAAAAAAAAAGCTAAAACCAAAATGTGCACGATTGTTTCTGGGCTGTACTACGGGTACAAACAACAAATAACATACACATATATGCTATCACTGCGATTGTCAAGAGCTGGAGAATTTATTTTGGGTTATGGTATTAACAAGAAACACACAGCTAAATAAAAAAAAAATTTTTTTTTTTTTTTTTTTTTTACCATTTTGGTCCAGTTTTCCTTTGATAATAAAAATAAATCAGGAACTATCTATTACCATTTACCACCAAATGAAAGCCCAATTTGTCCTGAAAAAAAACAAGGTATAATCCACCTGGATATACAAAGTAGTTGTGATATGTACGGTTTTACTAAGACATGTCAACGTTGCAAAATTGTGCTTAGGCATTTAGATTTGTTTTACCCTTAGGCGTGAAGGGGTTAAAGAAAACAAAAGTGAAATATATAGTGGAGGACTGTACTTATTTTTTTTTTTTCCTTTTAATTTACCCAGATACGCTTTTTCAGGCTCTTTCTTCACCACTGTAGGACCAGCATGTTACTCCTACTTCCTATCCTTGACACCTTTTTAGGTCCCATCATTACAATTTTATATGCAGAATACAGCACAACGCAAAACCAGCACTGTATGTTGCATATAAAGTTTAATATACCGTATTTTCCGGCGTATAAGACGACCCCCTACTTTTCCTGTTAAAATGTAGTGTTTGGGCTATACTCGTCGTATAAGACTACCCCTCTTCCAATGCACACCAGAGGGAAGAATAGTGCCCCATCATTGGTGTCAGTGGGAGGAATAATGCCCCATCGTTGGTGTCAGTGGGAGGAATAATGCCCCATCATTGGTGTCAGTGGGAGGAATAGTGCCCCATCGTTGGTGTCAGTGGGGGGGGAGGAATAGTGCCCCATCGTTGGTGTCAGTGGGGGGGGGGGGGGGGAATAGTGCCCCATCGGTGGTGTCAGTGGGGGGGGGGGGGGGGGAATAGTGCCCCATCGTTGGTGTCAGGGGGGGGGGGGGGAGGAATAGTGCCCCATCGTTGGTGTCGGGGGGGGGGGAGGATTAGTGCCCCATCGTTGGTGTCAGTGGGGGGGGGGGGGGGGGGGGGAAGTGCCCCAGTGCCCATCGTTGGTGTCAGTGGGGGGGGGGGGGGGGGGAAAGTGCCCCATCGTTGGTGTCAGTGACACCAATGATGGGGCACTATTCCTACCAATGACACTTGCTGACCCCTGTTCCAGTATGGTCCTGCTGCAGCCAGCATATGTGGTTGCAGCAGCACCTCTGCACGGCACACTTACCGACCGCTCCTTCACTCGATTTTTGCGGGGCCGCTCGGCTCCGCCTCCTCGTCGGTGATTGGCCGCCTGTGTGCCTTTCCTGAGCTACAGTTCTGGCGGCCAATCACCGGTGAGGAGGCGGAGCCGAGCAGCCACACGAACATCCAGTGGCCGAACCGAATGAAGGAGCAGCCGTGCTTCCTGGACCGGATTGTTGTGGGACCGGAGCCAGGTAAGAGACAGCAGCCCCTGCCCAGCCCTGTACTTAGTGTCCCTTCCGTTGGAAGGGGGGGGGGGGCGGCGGCACCACGCTGCCCCCCTAAAAAGTGTCAGTATGCCGTATACCGGCGTATAAGACGACCCCTGACTTTTGAGAAGATTTTCAAGGGGTAAAAAGTCGTCTTATACGCCAGAAAATACGGTAATTCAGATATTTATATAGAAGCTGGCGTTACGAGGGCCTTGGGTGAACACAGAAATATTTGCCCTTTTTTTTTTTTTAAATTTGAACACCCCATGGTAATTTTTTTTTTTTTTGTTGCAAAGATTTTTTGGTAATGCAGAAATGTACTATTGATGAAGCAGTTACAAATGTATTTAAGGAAAGTGGATAAACAGTGCTAGAGCCATAGGGTTATCTCTCTGATATTGCTATCTTTAAAGTATTGATGCTGATCAGATTCCCAGGCTTCTACACCCCTGAGGACTTCCATGATTTCCTTGGATTGTAGTGTAACAAAAATTTAATTTGAAGCGT